AGTCAAGAAGCAAAATCAGAAGGAAGAGAATGGAAGGACAGTGGGGAGGAGAGTGAGGGAGACGAGAAAGAGGTGGCCCGATATAAGCTTAATTTACCTATCATCCAACTGCAAATGAAGGAAATGAAAGGGGGAATACAGCACGCTTAGCGCAAAGATAGCAGCTCATGCTCGGATGTATTGGTTTCCAGGCTCTTGTTGCGTGGTGTGTGTTGGGAGGGCCATCCAGGGGGAGGGAGGAGCAGAGGCAGAAACCACCCACAGAGAAAACACATCTCCCTTTCTTCCCTCGGTTCCCCCGGTAGTCCCCCCAGCCCTCTCCACAGCTGCCCGTGGCTCAATTAGTCCCTAATGCATTCAGCACGTCCGTGCTGCATGCTTGGACATCTGTCAGCAGCTGCTGCACGCAGGTTTCCTGCCCCATCTCCAACGGTGACGGAGTAACTAACTGGGTCTAGTGGTGCGAAAGTTGCGACCGGGGACCGATGCTGTGATCTCCTGCCCGCGCTCTGCCGGGAGCCGTGGGGGTCAGCTGGGGACTGAGGGCTTTGGGACAGGACTAGGAACAGGAAAACTGGTGGGGCCACATGCTCTGCTGCAGGAGAAACCTTGCTGCAAGGAGTTTCTTACCGGCCTACTTGAGCGATTCTGGCTATTAAGATTTTTGCCTGTGTTGGATTAGCGAGTTGTTTAGGGATCTGGGGCAAACCAGTAAAACAGGCTGATGAATCCGTGTGGTAGGTGCCAATCTGGGTTGCTGCCTTTTTCAGAAGTAAACAACTAGGAGCCATTGTTCATCTTCCTAACTCTCTGCAGGACACAGGCTGTAAATTACATCCAGGAACAAAAGGTTGATGGGAGTAGAACCGGGTGCCCAACTTCCCAAGGGAGTGCTTTGCCCTCCAGCCAAAAGAGTAGCTTTTCTGGCTTAAACCAGCACAGGCTCTTCTTATGCCTTCCCATCAGCACTCAGAGCCCAAGAAAAGTGTGCACTGCAGGATTTGCTGCACTGAAGTATTTACAACCATTTCCATTTACAAAACCTGGTTTCAGGGTTGATCATGGCAATTAAATCGGGTCTGAAATGCAGGAAGCAAGATTGCAATCTAGGGACACAGGAGGAAATGTTATTAAAAATACCATATCTTATTGGGATTACAGTTAAATGAGTATAAAATCCTCCCTCAAAACTGATTTACAGCCAGTCTCACAGACCAGCTGTAGTCTATGCAGAATGTACGCTGCCATGACCAGAATTACCTAATGAGATTTGTGCTTTTTATATTCACCAAGACTATGTTCTTCAACTCCCCCTAACAAGCTTGACATTTCCACCAAAATACGTTCAGAAAAGGATTTTTTTTAAATTAAAAAAAAAAAAGAGTATTTCTGCTGATAATAGGAAAAAAAAAGGTTTTCAAATTAGGAGCTTCCTTTTTTTGAAGTTTCTGTTTTTTACAATAGAAATGCCAGCTATTTTGACAGAAACAAATTCCATTCTACCCACCTTCCAATTGTCTCCATTTGATAGTGAAACCAATATCCATTAGTGTCATTTTTTTCACCATAAGTTCAGGTATGTTCACTTTCTGGTCTGTCCATGTAATAAAATCCAAATAAACATACATTATAGGGAGACATCGCCCCACTGAATTCAGTGGAATTTTGGCCTTTGACTTCAGCTAGGCCAGAATTTCATCCTCTACGGGGATTCCCGCAAAAACATCTCTTTATATCGCTGTAAGCCATGCCTCTTCCTTTTCTAGGGCTCCAACACATACTCCCTAATAGGATTTTTATCAAAATTAACTGGTGCTGGCTACAGTTCACGTATGTGATAAAATCATGAATGAGTTATTTTGGTGTTCCTGTGCTAATTGCACCATCATAGGTTCAGTATCCACTGTGTCAAAGGCTTCACAGAAAAACACTTTAAAATACTGGGGGTTTATCCTTTTTAGTTGTATTGTTTCCTTCTCTTTCGAAAACTTAATTCATTTGGTACCGTTTATTAGTTTACAAATTTTTAGTGCCAGTAATTTAACTGCTTGTTGCCAAGGGAGCAAGAAAATTCCAAAAGCTCAAACATTTAACTATGTGATTTGTGTTGTTAACAATAATGTCATGGGAACAAATCCACAAAAACTGATAGGCTCAACTTAAAGTGATGCACTGCTGCATTTCCTCAGCTGAAGATTTGCTTTAGGATTTTTCTGTTCCTATATATTAAGATTATCCCAAGCTAAAGAAAAAGTTCTGTATTTCTCACAAAGAAACCCCCCAAACCAAAAAAACTTTTCCCAGAGCTGTACATCTCCTTTGACTAAATTTTCTGGGTAGCATCAGGTCCTGCACCTAGGCTAAATTTGGGCTGCACTCTTCCTCAGGCCAACATATTTTAGGGGAGAAATTCCATGTTTGGGTGGGAAAGAAGGAAATGTTTTTGTGTCAGCCTTTTTATTTTTTTGTTAATGGCAGCTCTTTGAAGTGATCAGTGCATTGGAATGCAAGTGTCTGTCCTAGGCTGGCATGTAAGCAGGCAGATGGCATGTGAAATGGACAAACTTACATGTTATATACATACAGTTCATTAAGTACTTCTGTGGTTTATCACATGAAATGACGTACTGTGATGAGTTATTTTTCTTGTATACATCTGTCTTTTCCTTTTGCATTAGGTATTAGCACATCCATGCACCTGGTCTAAATATGCCTAATCTTAGCCCAATTTTATAGGGCAACAAGCAAGACAGAGACTTTCTGAAGTGGAATACCACCCACCCCCGCCAAACACACGCAGAAGTACTGAGAAGCCTAAGATGCATATCAAAAAATATTCAGTATTGAGAAAACAATGTGTTCATAATCTGATGTCAGAATGGCTAGAATTAGAAACTTCTGACCATGAAGAGACTAGGAATTTCCACTTCTGGTAAAATATGACTTTTGCCTCTGTAACACTTGCCCACGTCCCTGAAATGGCCATTGTTCTCCATTTACCTGCGCCAAAAGAAACTTGTTTTCATTTTTTTTATTCCATATAATTATGAATACAGGACAATAACAGAGAGGTATTTTATGTTCATCAAAAAAATAAGACTGAAAGATAGCTAATTTTTAATTAAATATTCCATTCTTTTGTTTCATCTATGGGGGTGAATTTTAAAAGTCATTTAACTCTTGAAGAAAAAGATATGCTTAGTAAGCTGTCACGTCCCAAAGTTGAAGCGACTCAGGTTCGTGGATTTCCTTTGTCAGAATTAAGGTGAAACAACACCAGGGGAGTTCAAACAACAATCAAGTAAGCTTACAACATAGATTAACTGTGCACCAGCATTTTAAATCCCGCTAAACTTCATTCATATATTTTGATGCCAAAATGTCTATAGCTATAAACCTACAGAAATTCACAGAACTATTTCTTTTTCGCTACTATAAACAGTAAGGTGTATAGGAGATTGTTTTTTCCTTGCTTTTAAAACCATTTGTTTAAAAAAAAATAATAATAACGTATTCACTAAATAAAATGTGTTTTATCTGTAACTTCAAAGTTGCTAGCTTCTTAATAAAAAGATCCTCTGTGTTTTAAGGAAAGATTTTCACTTTAACCTTGTCCCATCAGATATTTTAGACCTGTAGGAAAAGCCTGTTGGAACCTGTTGCTAAAAATCTGGCTGATTGAGGAAAAGATAGCCAGCCATCTCTAAGTCAAAAGTCAAAGAAAAGGCAAAGTCCTGAAAACCTCTTTGTGTAATGTTCTTGTGCCTGTGGCTGGAAAGACCTGTCTGTATTTTTCCATTGTTTGTGTTAACAGAGATTAAAAATTAATGAGAAAATCCTTTCAAGTGGGAGGATTGACAAAACGGTAATCTGATATAGGATTATTCATTTCAAATTTGCCAAGTGAAACTGAAATCAGGCCATTAGGGTTGTCAGTCATTGCCACATGTTGGTTATTAAAGGTGAGGTGTTCTGGCTTTGGTGGTCCCTGATCATTCCACTGCACGCAAACCACTGTCACAATTCTGTAGCTCTGAAGAGAGGCCACTGTATGGAGACACCCTGAGAAATCGCTAAGGCACACGACAGATGTGCCTTTTGCTCGTCTACAGAGGCTCTGAGGTTTTCAACAGGGGTTTCATGTGGCATCTAGAGTCACACAACCCCCCACGCTGCAATGAACATATGCCTCTCGGGAACCGAGACCTTGTCTGAATGTCAAAGACTGTCATACGTCCTCATCCTGTGTCTCTACTTTGCAAATTGGGAACAGGAGGAATAATTCCTTCCACACCTCATACCATCAGTACAACAAAATATCAGCCTTGCTCCCCAGTATCACTGCTGGCACTGGCATTAGTTACCACTTTTGTTGGAGCAGCCCGTGCAGAGAAGCCAAGGGTAGAACGGGCTGTGGGAGACTAAACCGCCTCAACTTACCTTCTGCATGAGGTTGTCCTCCACGGACGAAGAGAAACATTTTAGAAAGGTTCATTCCAGAGCAGGCATTTTTCTTGCTCTATATTGAACTGCAAAAAGAGAAAGTGGTGAGATGGGACAAAATAACCAAAATATTTTGGGGAAACCTCCAGGCAGTTGTAGATGCTTTGCTGGAGTTCAGAAACTCCAGTGCTTTACGTTCACCTGGTTTGCAGTGAGAAGATTTTAAAGCGCAGGAGGGGAAGCTTATAGCAAACAGTGCCTTTCTGAGCTAACTCACGAGAGGTTACACAAATTTTCCTGCAAGCGCAGTAAGTATAACTTTTGACTGTAGTTGTGTAAGAAGAGGAGGTTGAGTGCCTCTTTAAAACTCGAGTGTGGCTGCTTAGCCAGTAGTAACTCTCCTCCCACCCCCCCTTCTTCCACTGCTGGGTAACTTTTGTTGCAATATGGGTGTGACTTTTGATGGAGCTCCCCTCCCAGTTATGTCATTACTTCAGTTCCTTTGAATCAGAATAAAAAGTGCAGCGAACTTCAGACTCATTGACTGCAGACTTAACAAGTGTCGGGGCTTTTCTTCTTTCCACGGTTTGCAAGGATCTCTGGTTTTTGCAAAACAGTTCCGAGAAAACAATGGCCAACTTCTCCTTATGGGCAACTTTTGGATTATGTTTGCTGAAGCTTTGTCTAACAGAAACACGTAAGTTTTTTATGAATGAAAACATGGTTGCTAATAAGTTTATGCTCGAGACAGCAAGAGCTCTTCTCTGCTAGATAGCTAACAGCTTTCTTGCATCTATATAAAGTTTTATTATTTGTAAGAGTTATCAGAGATGCTTTAGAACTGTAACCTCACTTGTGCTGGTCTGTACAATCACGGAAAGCTCTGTATTGCTTCTAAAGGGCAATTCCAGATCTATAAAAAGTGAATTGTAGGTCATTAAATTTAAGTTTAAACTAAGAACAGAAGTACATTAGGGAACTTAGAATAGCTCTGGTAAAGCTCAGTTCGACAACGTGACTGCTGTTACATACTTAATTTGCTCTCCCAGCCCCGTTTCAGACAGCAGAGAAAAGAGGGGGGGTTGAGGGGGATGGAGAGGGACACACACCTCCCCCCCCAGCATACAACTGCATTCTTGGTTTTACATGGGCTGAACTAACAGCTAATACATACGGCATTTGGACACAGCATTGCTGAACAGAAGCAAAAGTGCAGCAATCTGTGACTGAAATTTGGAAAGCTTTTATGCCAAGCGTGCTTGTTTCTGACTTCCTAAAGTTTCTTTGGGGTTCACTGACAAGATTTTGGAACAAAGGGGGTTCGAAGTGACCACAAAATTCAGTTGTTTCTCAATTAACTTTCTGTAGCTTGCTTATCTGCTTCAAATATTTGTATTTAAAATGAAACGTTAATACAGAGAAAAAAATAAACGTTTTGCGTCCAAAATGACAAAACGCTTTTGAAATTTCACATGGTGCAGGCTCAACTGTGTTTGAGGGAAATGGCCATGCTTTTAACAGACTCTCCCTGTGACAGCAGCTGCCTCGAGGCATTTTGTGGTTAGGGATACCAATTATGCTTCTACATTATTTTGCTACTCATTGGTTCCAGGAGTCTAACGAAATACATTTTTCAGAGCCATTGTCACCCAAGGGCTGTGTGTGTGTACAGTAAATTCGTATTTCATTAGTTTGAGCAGCAGTAGATACTTCTGTAAAGGTTGCAGCGCTGCCGGGCTGTGGATGGGTGTGTCGAGTGAACAGTTCCCAGCGCATCTGAGATAGCTGAAGCGCCCTCATCACTTTTCTTTCTGAAATTGTCTGCCAATTGTACCAAAATGCTCTTGCTATAATCAGGTATATGGATAAAGCCCTTAGAGAAAGGGCAAGGGTACTGTAAACAAATAAAGTATGTCTGAGATGCATTTAAAACCTTGGCTTGGTCCAAGTCTATATGCTGTATAAGCATTATAATTATTTGGTTACCACCTGCTCAACTGATTTCTCCTTTTATGAGCTGCCAGGAGCATCCTAAAAGAAGCAGGGTCTGCACTGACTCTGGGAGCAATGCACTTTTTACAGTGAGACAGCAGAAAACCCTATCTTCTAGTCTTCAGCATAGTTACAAAAAGTATGTCAAACTTCACATATGCCCCACAGGGAAGATTCTTTAATGGCTTAGCAAGGTATTAGACTGTAGCTACAATATATTTTAGTTGGTATGCGGTACATTCCAGTATGACTTTGTAGTCAGTAATGACTTCAAAACAGCAGTTGGTGGTGGTTTTATTTTCTTTTTTAAATCAGTGGCTTTGCTGTGTATCAGAGAGTAGTGGCCATTGCTGTTGGGAAACACCTTGCTTGAAGACAAAATTCAGATCTGCTCCTGAGTTGGAATTTTGATTCTTTTGGTACAGAATTTCACAGAATTAGAAAGGACCTGAGATTACTGTTAACGTGATTACTAAAGGAAAAATGAGATATAGAGAGCAGCTGAAAAATTTACTCATCCTGAGTTCTGTGCATTTGTGACCATACTGACACATGAGCAAGGTGTACGCGTGGTATTGATGTGAATTTTGTTGTCTAAGGGGTCTGAATCCATGAGGATATAGATGCTGACATCTTGGTTAATGATGATTCTGGAGGAGATAATCCCCTGTGAGCATTATGTATTTCTAAAAATATTTCTCTCAAAGTTTTCCCTGATTAACACAAAGTGAATCCTAGAATTTTGACCCCCAGACTGGAGGAAGCTGGAATACAAGTAGCGGTAAAGATGAAATGAAAAGAGGGAGAATGAGTCCAACAGTGTGAGAAAGGAGTTTAGCTATTAGCATTGGAGAGGTTGCCAGACTCTCAGGGCTACTGTGGCTATCAGTCAGTCACAAAGGAAGGGGCCAGCCTGCCTCTTGGCTTATATGTCATGTAAATTTGTAAATAAGGAAGTTTGAAGAAGCTCTTTGTGCTAGTTTATTTTCACTTAGTCCTTACAGTGTGTGTCTTGGCTATTTTCCCAAAGCTGCAAAGTAACTAGACTTTATTAAAGTTCAAGTGAACTTCCATCATCGTTTAATGGAAAGGTTATATACCTGCCCCTGAAATACTCTCACACACAGAGCCAACAAACCATGGCAGAGGACTGTCTTGCAGTCTTTGGAGAAATGTTTGTTGATTCTTCAGTTCACCACAATGCAGCACCATTACCTTGAAAACAGAAGTCAGAGAAAGCCTTAATGAGGAAAGATAGCATCATACAATTCAGGAAGAACTTTTTAAACTAAGTGCTTTTAAAAAGGACTGGTAGCTCTAGCCAAGGTTAAATGAAATGTTCCCCCATATCTAGAGTGTCTTTCTTTCCAGAACGGTTCCCATTGACTTTATAGGCCAAGACTTGAGGACAGTAGTAATATTGCATTTAATCATCTAGCACCTAAATGTGCATGAAGTTCTACTGTAGCAAGAATGTGCTAGCAGGATGAGATGTCCTGAGCTGCTGATAGACACGTATAAACAGCAGAGAGAATCATGAGCTCATTACTGGTAAAATACTTGTAGAAAAGATGGGTTCTCAAGAATTTCATGAAGGGGTAAAAAAAAAAGCTTTCATTGAAGGACAACTGCCATTTCAAATGAAAAAAAATATGGAAGAGAGCAGGAAAATATAGTGCAGAAAGATGTAGATCTCCAAGGGATGTTTGGTTGTGTGGCAAGGAACATTGATGGGAAAACAACTAAAATTATTTATACAGGCAGCATTAAGTCTTGAAGAATTTAAGTTAGAGAAGAAATCTGAAATGTATCCAAGCAAGAATCTAGTGTAAACCTCTGCAGACATTTCCACTAATTTGGATAGCAACTGTCAGGAACAGGGGAAAATAAATGAGGAATAAAAAAAGGTAACATCAGCAATCAAGTTAACGTATAATAGGAGTGGAGCCTATAGATATGTGAAAAATTAGAAAAAGTAAAAGCTGCATTGCTGACATGGCAGAGGAAAGAGCTCTGGTGAGCTCTGTGGGATATGGGTTAATTAAAAAGCAAACGGCAAACAATGCAGGATGGCAATGTTCTTGCCAGAGAAGAGATGGTATTCAGAGGGAGTGGCTAGACAGCAACAGTAATTTGGTTTGCAAATAGGTTGCTAAGAGACATTGTTTTTAAGGAGAGATTAGATAGACTAGATGAACATCTTTAAAGGACAGTTTGGGTATTGGCGATTGTGCTACTGGGTAAGAAAAGGGAGTAGAACATCTCTGGTAACTGTTTCTTCTTTGATAAAAGGATAATTTCAGTTCTGAATGTAGTTGACTGGTAGTGGAATACATTGTAGAGAAGCAGGGCAAAGAATGATGTAGAGCTTCTTATATATAAGGAGTGATAAGTCAGCCCAAGAACTTAGAAGTTTTTCAGAATTCTGGAGATGCTGTAAGAAGGCTTCTCCATTAGCTTTCTGGTCTTTTTGCTTCACATTTCTGCTCCTGCACTAATGGATAAGTGTTTAAAAATACAGTCAAGATAGAAAATGATAATTCTCAACTTCGTATGACATATATTCTGTTATTTACAAAACTTTTTTTTTTTTTTTAAAGAGAACCCTATGCAAGAGAGTGAGGGAAAGTGTTCTCCCAAACTCTCCTCTACAATTGCTTTTTCAGGACCAAGGCCAAATGTAAATAGTTACCTGTGAACTATAACTTCACAGAGAGGATAATCATGACACAAACATGACCCACCACAGTAATCTTGCCTACTTTGGAAACAATACAACATTGTACTGGAACAATTAACACTGTTCAAACCACATGATATTTTAGCATCAGCTGGTAACTGAAAGCATGTTTTATCAAATTTCATTTTTCAGTACTAAATCGAATTCTTAGACTAGAGAAGTTCAAACTTCCACTTGAAGGCCAGCGAAGTGAGAAGAGCAAGACAGAAGTCAGCAACATGTCTCTGATACATGCATCATGGTTGCGACCAAGTAAAACCCACATCTACAGTCTATTTTGTTCTTTGCCTTTACCTGGAAGGGTTTCTTAGGGATATACCTGGTGGCTTGGACTGTTCTCCATGGGTTGTCGCCAACTGTAGGCGTGAAGCCAGTTTGGCATAGCCGCTAGTCATTTTCCAGACTAGATCAGAAGTTCATCAGCTGTTAACATGCAGTTGTCTCTCACTCCCAGGGAGGTAATAATTATCTCAAAGCCATCAGACACTGTCATTATCAGTGACCATTATGGCTGCTGCTAATACTGGTGGCAGAGGGGATTGTGTCAGTCCTGGGTGTTTATCAGCGTCCTCCCTGGCAAATCACAGGCCTCCCTACGGTGGCATCAGCAGTAGTATCAGTAGCAGCTGGCTGCTGGAGCTGGCCCCACCCAAGGGACGGCGGAGCAGCTCGTCCTAGGAGTGAGTTTGCAGGCAGTAATGTGAAATGGCAACTGAGAGAAAGAGGGGTTTTCCTTGGAGAATCTCTTCAGTCACACTGAAAGTTCAGCTAATTAAGATTTAAAGTTCAAACCTCCGTGACTGTTTCCTGCCTAACGAAACCTGCAGTCATTTTTGGAGTCTGTGCCTACAGTTAAGAACATAATTGAACTCTCTTTTGTACGCACTGGCTTTGGGACTTTCCAGTTCCTCTGCGTGACAACACTGGCTGCATTATATAATGCAGCAACTTATTTCAGTACAAAA